AAAACTAATACCTACAAAACTATTTTTTCTTATTTCTATTGGTTATTTGTATACATGGAAATAGTCTTGTCAGGAAGAAAGGTGTGATGAACTTATATCCCAGTATCAGCGGATAAAATTTAAACCTTAAGGAGGGTGGGTACGTTAGGATAAATTGCTATTTCTAGATTTATCAACAGCTGTGGTTCCATTTGTAACCAGAAGATGGCAGAATTGACACACAGATGAGTTACAGGGTTTCAATTTTTAATGGAGGTGTAGAAAGATGTTTCAGGTATTCTTAATTTGGGAACTCGTCTTCTAGAAAGAATTTTGGGAATTACACAAAGAATGTGGAATAAATTACAAGTAAGTAAAATGCATTTCAAAAATCTTCAGCTCTCTCTCCCTTTCATTAATTTGTCACATTGAGTTTGCAAAGTCTAAAGCAGCTTCTTTGCTTTTACCTTGATTGGCATTATTCAACTTAAGTTTCTGTTGACTTCTTTTTTAAAGATTTATTCATTTATTTATAGAGAGGGGATGGGAGGGAGAACGAGAGGGAAACATCAATGTGTGGTGCCTCTCGTGTGCCCCCTACTGGGGATCAGGCCTGCAACCCAGGCATATGCCCTGACTGGGAATTGAACCAGTGACCCTTTTGTTCGCAGGCTGGCATTCAATCCACTCAGCCATACCAACCAGGGCTCTGTTGACTTTATTATAGATTTACCTATTTAGTCATTAGGAATTGGCTGATCTTAAACCTTGAATCTTTAAATTCATTAGATGTGTGTAAATATGATACACCTTTTATTGAAAATAATTTTGGAGGTGATAATCAAAGATTTGTATTTTATCCTTGCTCCCTAAGCCAAGAAGCTCTTTGACTTCACTAACTTCTACAATCTTAGATTGATTTGCTTATAAAATGCTGATATGCTTAGCTTCTAATATAAAAAACATTTACAGGTTCTTAGTTTCTTAGAGAAAAAGCTTATATCAGTAATTTTTTGTGAACTATGATGAAGTGGTTGGGAAAAAAGATGTAATGTTAAGATAAGGTACTCTGGTAATGCCTAGGGACTTTGAAGAGCATTTTTCAAGAGCACAAGGCTGGAAGTGAGGCTGTCATGCTGGCAGATGTGGGAGGTGTGGAATTTAGTTGTGGCTGTGAAAGAACAAGGGATTTGTCTCTTCCTCATTCCTTTCTCTCTCTGCCTGCATTCATTAACCTAATGTGAGGCTGTAGTTTGCTGTGACTTTTCCCTTCAAACACTTAGTCTTAGGACTTGTAATTTTGCACTTTGGTGCTTAATAAATATTAAAGGCAATGTTCAGCTCTCTATTGAAAAAAGTAATATCATATTAGAAAAGTATTTGCTGTGTCAAAGAAAGAAAAATGTTGGTAGCATCTTCATTTTTATAAATAATTTTTAATCTAAAGCTCACTAAGTATTTGGTAAGTTTAAATCTAATGAGTCTTGCATTTCAGTGTTGATAAAAGATGGTGACACATGTATTTTCTTTATGGAAAACCTTAGTTTTCTTGTCCTTTGATAGAACTTTAACATATAAAGCACTCTTGGGTTTAATGAAAATGCTACCATTCCTGTGTGATGGATTCATACCAAACTCCAGATTTATGAGGAAAGAATGCTGTAGAGAATGGATTGACCAAGAGACCCACAGATGACATTACCTTTATTTCCTTTCATAGAACTAAGGTATTGGTTCTATGTATTGAAACATGTTTTTGTTCTTGTGCAGTGAAATGCTCTGTTGTAGCTCAAATTCAAATCTAAGACAGATCGGAGTTAATAGAAAACCAAATGGAAGGCAGTGGAGTTACTGGAGGAAATAGAGGCATTGCTTTGTGGCCTCTCTCTCATGCCCCGGAAGTCAGGAAGCCATGCGGGGTGCTTTATGCCCCTTCTGTTAGTCAGATTGCTTTTCATCTGAGAACCTTTTCAAAGTTTCCCCTGTTTCTGCATTTTTAAGAAATAAAAACAGTAATGCAAGAACATGGAAGGTTATGAGGCATGGAGTTCCATAAATATTTATGCCAACTCACAAAAGCAGACAATTCCTGTTTTCTTGACATATGGGGGTCATTTTTCACTCTTGACCTCTTGAATTGAAAAATACGAGGAATTAGTATACTCTTTATTTTTTCTTTTCTTTTTTATTTATTTTCTTTAAAGAGTTTTAGATGCTGGGAACTATCCTGTTAGGTTCATGTAAATTTCACAGGATTTTATTTTCTGTCCTAGTTTTATAAGGATGAATTTAAAAGTTCACTCTTATCAAAAGTAACAATTTATTCTCAATTTTAGGCCTTAGTGGTTAGCTGTTTAATCTGTTTTTATGTGTGTTATTGTTATTGAATTAAAAATAAATGTTTTCTCAAGGATAATAAGTAGGATTGCATAGAAAAACATATTTAAAAGTAGCTCTTTCATTTTTTTTTTAATTTATTTTTAGAGGGAGAGAAACATCATTGTGTGGTTGCTTCTTGCGCACCCCTACTGGGAACTTGGCCTGCAACCCAGTCATGTGCTCTAACTTAGAATCGAACCAGCGACCTTTTGGTTCACAGGCCAATGCTCAGTCCTCTGAGCCACACCGGCCAGGCCTCATTTACTGTTTGGTTCATAGCAGATATTTTTGCCCTTGAAAGTATGTTGAAAAATCTTAGGAAGTAATAATACATGTTCTTTGTAGAGAATTTAGAAAATACAAGTCAGCAGAAAAGGAGAAGCATTACCTGTAATCCCACTCTATTTTTCCTTGTCTTTATATAACTATATATATGCATACTACTCAACACAAAGAAAAACAAAATTAAAAAAATTCTAGAGTATTGGTAAGGTCATTTCAGTGGAAATGATTGATTTTTGGTGTTATTTTCATTTGGGTAGTTTCATTTGCTTTCTACATAAAATAATACAAAAATAATGCATACTATTTATTTGTCAAGTATGCCTAAATAAAGCTGAGGGGAAATACAGTGCAGAGATTCCCTGCCTCTGTCTACGGCCATACCACCCTGAATGTGCCAGTCTCATCAGAGATTCCTTGACTCCCTTCCCAGTGGTTTAGTAAGGTTGATGTCTATTTTCTTCTTGCCCTCATAATGTTTATGGTTTAGTAGAAGAGAGAATATATTTGAAAAACTAGGTGATAGTAAAAAATGTCAGGTAAGGTAGTTTATTTTGGGAAATAAGAATAAGGAAGAAATAGTTTGGAGAATAAAGAAGAAATCTTTTGAACTTAAGGAGAAAGGATATGATTGGAGAAAATTAATTACAGAAATCAGTACTTAAAAGGATACCATAAAGATTTCTGGTTCAAGTCAAGTAAGAAAACTTGGACCCAGGAAGGCAAACGGAATGCTTGAGAATTCATTTTCAGAGCTGGGGCCACAGTCTAGGTCTGAATATGCTCAACTAGACCACTGCTCATCTCCTGCTGGAGGTGAGCCCTGAAGGAAAGGTCCAGTCGTGATGCGGACTGCCACAGTTGTGTAGGCATGTGCCAGGGACCCCTGACTCTGCCTTTTTTCATAGCCTCTGGGGTCTTCATGTACTTTCCCTTCTCTTTTCCATATTTTTTAAAAAAGATTTTATTTATTTATTTTTAGAAGAGGGAAGGGAGGGAGATAGAGAGAAACATCAATGTGCGGTTGCTGGGGGTCATGGCCCGCAACTCAGGAATGTACCCTGACTGGAAATCTAGAAAATCTCTTTTCTAGATTTTTAACATCTGCTTTGCTATTATCACTTTCCCCATGCTACATGCAGATATTAACTATCTTAAAGACAAAGAACTGCCTTCAATTCTGAATCAGTCTGCTGATGTGTTAGCCTACCTCCTGGAGTAGTAGTCTACATTTGCCCATCTCTGTCTTGAAATTACTTATGAATTCTCTGCATGGGTCTGCTGCCCTAGCCCTCCATTGAACCAATTTTGACGAATGCTGTTAACTCTCATATGTGCATTACTTGAGACTCTTGATTCGTTGCTCTGCAAATCTCCATTTGATACTTGTCTGTCATGAATATCAAGTACCATTCTTGGTTGCATGCAGTTGAAATTGGTCTTGGTAAGTATGGAAAAAAGATCTTTCTGGAGAAGTTGAGAGACACTAGTAACTTGCCTTCCCCTTCTAACTTGCCAACAGAATGGTGATTTGGTTTGGGTGTCAGTGTCCCTAACCCTTTGCCAAATCTACATACTCTCAGCTGTCCTAACAGGGTGGCCATGGCACATGTGCAAGTAAATACTGCTGGGGGCGCATCAAAGAAAAAAAAGAAGGCTCATTCTTCTTGGGCCCAGTTGTGTGACAAATTGTGAGTGAGGGGTGGCATATACATCTCCCTGGTATATCATGAAGGCTGATGTTAAAATTGGTCAGGTGTGAGGATGGACCAACCAGGACCTGTGTCATGTTGAATGCTGGAGCAGGTCTGAGAGTACCTGGCGTTACTCCTCTGTTGTGGGAGATAATGGTGTGCTGGAGCTGGGAGCTGGTTGAGGCTGCAGGGGGTGAGATGGAAGGGTAGGAGTAACTTGTTAAGGAATAGTCCTGCTTCTATCAATGTGTGCATTGCTCCCAGTAAAGCAAAGTCATGATTGATTAGTTCAGTCTTTTGTCACACATGTTTGAAATGACTGTCATGTGAACACCAGATGCTGTTCAACAGGTGTGAGGGGTTCACCATGAGTAAATGTGCTTGTTGCTACCCAGGGGCTTATAGACAGATATGATTGGAACAGTGTGGTGGGAGGTGGGAGGCTCTATATGGAAAATGGGAGGGAAGGTTTTGAGCCGATAAAACAGTGTATGTTCATTAAGGGTTCTAAGTGTTTTGTGTTAAAAAAAAAACAACCTTCTGACATCTTGCACTAGGCCTTCTACATTATACTTCCTTATTCCATAATTTTTACTTATGAAAAAATTTCAATTTTCTTGGCAGTTACTTCTTTTTTTAGGATGTACTTAAATTTATATATTTTAGGTTGCCTGCCTGATTCGAGTTCCTTCTGAAGTAGTTAAGCAGAGGGCACAGGTTTCTGCTTCTTCAAGAACATTTCAGATTTTCTCACACATTTTATATCAAGAGGTAAGATGTGTTTTCAAGTTCTTTTTTCTTTATTAAAAAGACTTTATATCATCTGATATGAACACTGTGAGTCTCATATCAGGAGTCCTAGAAGAGACCTTAAAGCTATATTTAATGTAGTGTTATAGTAACTTTTCATGCTAAGATTATCATTATCATTCCTTTATTTGTTTTTAAAATTTTATTTTCATTTTTATTTCTTTTCAAAATTTCTAAACAAACACATAGTAAGTGCCACTACTGTGTATGAATCCTACATTGTAACCCTTCCACAGTTTTTTTGGAATCAGACATGGAATAAGTAGTAAATGTGTAAAATGGATGAAGAGCTATTAAAACATTACTATAGAATTCGAGGGCCATGGAAGAGAAGTCTACTAATGGACGGATATCAGTCACCAACATCGTAATGTTTATATCAAAGTGTAATTCCTCTTTTCCTGGTTAGTGTTAAGCTGTGGGTCAGAAATCATTCCTGCTGGCCATGGGACTAAGAACCACTGAGCTCTTTTTCATTATAGTTTTACAGAAACCTTTAAACAATTCATTTTTTTTTAAACAAAAGTCAATCACATGGAAATTTCAGTCAGTGTGGGTTTTAGAAAAAGTTGTTCTCAATGGTCCCCCTGTGTCACCTTGGTGAGGGGACACTGAGTCTTTAATTGTATGAATGAGGTCAGCCCAGTAGAGGGTCTCTGTTGACCCATGTGGATGGTGGAACAGATAAGCCAAAGCTTGTCCAGAGGTTTTCTCACTAGTGAGAGGTTATTAATGAATATATGATATCTTCTGACTGAAACTTTGAAGCATAATTCTGTTTTCATATGAAAAGATATTCAACATTCTGTGTGCATTTGCTTTTGGAAATATTTTTATTTAAAACATCTCAGGTATTATTTTCACAAGAAGAAATATAGAAAGCACCTGAAGCTCAATTTGTATGTAGTCAGTTTTATTATTAGAGATGTTTTCATTTCAAAGGGAGCTGACCTGAGCTTTATATACCTTGGGCCAGTTAGAACCTTTAACTTCTGAGAGAACTGTGGTCTTTACGGTGTTTTAAAGCTCAGATTTTAGGAGCAGTTCATGCACTTTATTGAATGTCCTTCTGGAACCTCTGCTCTTCTTTCCTGTTGTTTCAGGGCATCCGAGGACTGTATCGAGGCTACACAAGCACAGTTTTGAGAGAGGTAATGAACTTAATTTCCAGTATTGAAATCCAAAAAGCAATATGTTTTGTTCAGTAAATTTATTTAGAGAAACTGGTTTAAAAAGTTATAAAGGAAATTATGATCACTTTTTAAAATACTCTTTAGTCTTGTGTTGGTTTTACATCTAGTAAATGGGTCAAATGAATGAGTTGGCAGAATGAGCAATCCTGTAGCTTCATTGTAATTCTACAGTGATAAGTGTTTGTTGTAGCTGAAATATTGGGAAATAACTAAAAAGAGTAAGATATTAAGTTAATTACTCTAATACACAGAATTTTTGAAAAATTGGTCATGAAAGAAGTACTCTAAGAGGCGGGTATCTCAAAAATCTGTATGATGCAGTTAACTCTTGTTTTCCTAAAAGCAGTGTGGTGGGCTGAGGAGTCCAGTCTGTCCTGGAGTTCTGGCCCACAAGCTGTTTTACCTCCTGTGCCTTCCAACTCCAAACCCCATGACTCAGTGTGATCCATTTCTTCTTCTTTTTTGAGGGTGGGGTTTAAAAAGCAGAGTGACCTCAGTATATGACTGTAAGAAGCATATTTTATTTAATTTTTGCCTCACATAAAAGGGGCTGTATTAAAGTTTAAAAGTTGATATACAGATATGTGAGATATTAAGTCTTTCGTTTGGGACATAATTTTCTTTTTCTTTTTTAATGAGTTTAAATCCTAGAGGTTCCCCCCCAGTTTTATTGAGATATAATTGACAAAGTTATAAAGGACTTGAGATATACCATGAAGGTCTGATAGATGTATAATTGTGAAAAGGACTGGAACAGAATCTTGTGTTAAAGAAAACACAGAAGAGCATCTGCGTACATCTGCTCCGTCCTTGCTTTCTGTTTGGTGTTCTTTGGGTGCTGAAATTTTTTTACTTATGAAAATGTTTTTACTTTGAATAAATATTGTCATCATCAACAGAATATTGAAATTCTTTGGTATTCCTAACATACTACTAGGTTTTTTTTTTTTTTGGTTTGTTTGTTTTATACTATAGATCAGCAATTTCCAACCTTTTTGGCATCTGATTTCATGGCACATATAAACTAATTACTAAAATTCTGCAGCATACCAAAAATATATTTTTTGCTGATCTGAGAAAAATATGTATAATTTTGATTCATTCACACCTGATGGCTATTATTGTGTTGGCTGTTGTCATTTTTTAATTTGACAATGTAAGGGAAAAAAGATCAGTGCCCCTGACTAAAATAGTCAGGTATTGCATGTTTTAAAACTTCTCATAGCACACTGGTTGAAAATTGCTGCATTAGATTAGTTTTCTTTATAAAACACCTATACTGTTATTTAAAGCTTTGTTTCGCACAAGGTAATGACCTTTCATGTGGTATGGTGTAGGTGATATTTCTTTGAAAAACTTGTTTTGCAGGCAAACAATGCGTCAAAATTAGTCGTTTGTGGGAAGATGACTTCTGCCTTTCAAAAATACCACCTGTGCTATAGCTTGATTCTGCACTTATATTCTGATTTACTAAACATGCATTAGTTACTCAGATTTCACCTGGGTACAGGGAAGAGGCAGGGAGACCAATGAACCTTTTTTAGTTTTCTGAGAGATGCTGAATAAATGAATATATTTACATGCCAGAGAATACTGGTTTTGCATTTAAACAAATAAATAAAACACATGGTTACAACTGCATTCTATTCTTTTAAAATTTGTTTTGACACGTGTCATAACAAATGTGATTAATTTTTTAGGTAATTAATTTCTAGCCTGCAATTCTTGCAAATAGCATGACCCTACTGAGATGACTTTGTTTACTCAAAATGGCATACTTTGTTGGAAATTTAATTGGGGTCTTTGCATTATGCGTATTCATAAAAGGGCTTTCAGAACTTATTTTAGTTGAAATATTACTTTTGTACAGATTTTCGGATGAAATGAGAGAAGAATTATTGCTGAAAGAAACATAGCTTCTTTTCAAAATAAGAAAAATAAGAAGTGATGTATCTGCTTTAAACAAAATTTTTGCATTATAAGTAGTTTCAGTTCTTACACTGTTCTGACACCAATTTCAAATCTTTTTTTTTCTGCCAAGAGTGTGTTTGATTGTTTCAATAAGAAAATACATTGAAACCTTAATGAGAATCACCAGGAAACTTATACATTTATTCTGTGTATAATTTTTCCTTTAAAGTAGTTTTATCTCCCTAGCAGTAGTCCATTAGAATGAGATTGAAGTTTAAATCCATGCATTTTAAAATAGATTGTGTGTTCTTTAGATTTTATGAATGCTATCACCTTTTTTTTTTTTAACTACATCTGATATTTGTGGAGATTGCAGGCTTATCCCTATGTTCTCCTAAATTATTTTAGTTACTGTGAATTTTAGATTGAATCTAAGCAAGGTCAACAGATTATGCCATTTCCCTCACCCTTTCAGTATTTGTTTTCCTCATGATCTTGGCCAAGCACTGCGATGCAGTGGTGTCACTGTAGTAAGATGGAAGTGTGGAGCAGAGTCACAGCTGCTTCAGAGCCTGGCTGATTTGAGATGGTCCATTGTCCTGAGAGTTCTGTGGAGAGTAGCTTCACGATCGTGGATGTGAATTAGGACGTCTATGGAAGAAGAAAGCAGAGAAGGGCAAGTTGTTTCAAAAGAAGTAGGACCAAATTAAGCTCAGCAAATGTGTTTTATCCACAATTTCTATTCAGCAATCATTTAAAAAGTGTCTGCTGTGTGTTGGGCACCACATAGAAAGAAATAATTAGGGCAGTGGACATGTTACCGTGCAGTATAGGAGTGCTGTAATGATGTGGGTATAATAAGATGCAGCTAAAGTTCTAGAAGCAGTGCTTGAGTGGCACTCATAGTATTTGTTGCATTAATAAAAATTAGTTTTGACTTAATTCTTGAAGGAGTGATTAGAAGTAGTCAAGGGGATAAGCAGATGTAACAGCATGAGTAAAGGCACAAGGCTGTGAAAGAACTCATGTACCTTGCTTATCAAGCAGAATTGGGGTTTTCACACCTGTAGAAGAGGCAAGAGTGATTTCCCTCTACCTGAAACCTAGTGAGGGCACTTCAGGAAAGCACTTGACCAAGTAGGGTATTTACTAGGAGGAGAGGTTGAATATTTCACCCCAGCTGGATGTTTGCCGGGAGACTCTCGTGGAGCACAGGGGAAGATCCCTTGGAAGAGCCTGACATAATGTCCCCTGGAGTTTGTAGGATAAATTACTGGTGTTTGACTCATGTCTGCACAAATATGACAGTGATATGCTGGTTGTAGCTGCTTCGTGGCAGGATGTTGCCATTTTGGTGATGAATAACTCCTGGCTTCTTTTCAGTAGGTAAGTTTGGCTGCTAAAGAGATTTGAGATAGATGAGGGTTATCTCCCCAGCTCTCCCTAATTTTCTTACCAGGCTTCAATGAAAGTGAATCTCCCTCCAAATTCTATTACACATGCAATCAAACACATGCATTCAAAGTCAAGCAGGCCAAAATAAATCATTCAATATATTCTTTAATTTCATTGAGGCCTTCAGTCTATCTCTTTAGGCACAAGAATGAACACTGATTGAAAAGTTAACTTGCAAGTAGATAGGGTAGCTTTCCAAAGTTAGTTATGCTTATTTTATTGATTATGCTATTACAGTTGTTGCAATGTTTTCCCCTTTGCCCCCCCTCCACCCAGTACCCCTCACTCCCTCAGGCAATTCCCACCCCTTTGTTCATGTCCATGGGTCATACATGTAAGTTATTTGGCTACTCCAATTTTTATATAGTACTTGATATCCCTGTGGCTATTCTGTAACTACCAATCTGTACTTCTGAATCCCATTACCACTTCAGTAATTTCCCCAGACTCCCTTCCCATTTGGCAACCATCAAAACTTTCTACATATCCATGATTCTGTCTCTGTTCTTCTTTTTTGTTTAGTTTGTTTTTTAGATTCAGTTGTTGATAGATATGTATGTACTTATTGCCTGGTGTGGGGCTGGGACCCCTCGCTTCTGAGATACCCCTTCCAAATTTTTACCCAACACACATGGGCATGAGACCAGCCTGTTCTGCATTTACATGTCTCCGATCCTCCTACCAGTCTGGAATGGATGGGATTTCTTTAATTCTGTAGTTGACAGACTTCCATTCAACTCAATTTCTGACCATTCTGAGTGATGGTTGATCTATAGTTTAGTTGTAATTTTGATCTGGTTGTGCAAGGAGGTGAACTGTGTTCACCTATGCCTCCATCTTGACTGGAAATCTCCCAAAATTCATCATGCTTAATATCTACTTCAGGCAGTGGTAATTCCTCTGATCTAGAGGCTGGAAACAGGAATCTTTTGGAATCAAGCCTCAAGGATTGTCCTTCCATATCTGTTTTCCAGTTCTGTTGTCTGTACCAAGTTCATTTTCCCCAAACTCTTCACATTACACAGGGTAGGACAAAGGTAGGTTTACAGTTGTTCATATGATAAGTAATATAATAATAAACATTACAAGAATAAACTGTTTCACATATTCACAGCTGTTAACCTACCCTTGTCCCACCCTGTATAAATCTCGTGTATTGTTCAAGAACCCCTCTCTTCTGGGTGGTCTGCATCTTGTCTGTTTTCTTAGCCAAAATACTTGGAGATCAATTTATATCACTTCATAAAGAGCCCCTTCTCTCTTTTGTGATTGCATAATACTCCACTGTACAATTGAGCCATTGTTTATTTAACCAGTTTCTCATTGGTGGATATTGAAAACATGCAACAATGAATAATATTGTTCCTGTGTCATTGTTGAGGATGTTTTTGGTTATATGCCAAAAAGTGGAATTGCTTGCTTAAAGGTGTATAGGCATTTGTAATTTTGATACTTACAACCAAATTGCTCTCTGTGGAAGCACCAGTTGACACTTTGGCCAACATTGTGGGAGCTCTCTGTTTTCTTTTACTTCACTAAGGGTACTAGCAATCTAAGATGTGAAAATGATCTCACTGTAGTTTTAATTTTAA